GGGCCACAGGCGGGAGCCCCCCCCTCCATTCCCCCCCCCCTTAGAAAAACCCCCCCCCCCCCAGAAGCGTGGTGGGCCCGTTCCCTCCCGGCTTTCTGGAAAAAACTGAAGACCTGGTTCTGCCAGCTTGCATGGGGCAAGAAGAGTTTTAATTAATTAATTTATTATTAAATTTATATGCCGCCCATCTCCCCCAGAGATGTTCTCCTAGCCTAATAATTTTTAGCTACCATCAATTATCTTGGAAGATACTGTTTATTTAGAACTAATTGTTACATGGTATTTTTAATTAATATTTATCTTTCCTGTCAACCACCCAGAGACATTTTCTAACAAAATGGGCAGTGACAAATTTGAGATATAAATAAATAAATGTAATGTATGAATGTGAATGTAAAAATGCATAGATAGTGACATGTTACACTTCAGTGAATGGGAATAAACGGAAGAAGCAAGTATGAGTTTTGGGAAACCCTGTGCAATAGTCTGAATGATTATGATCCAGGGGAAAAATTAGTTTTGATAGATAGCATGGATGAATGGAAGAGACATGAGGAAATACAGTGATTGGTCCTTTCAAAGACCCAAGAGTTGGGAGGCATACAAATTTAATAATAAATAAATGAAGTATGAGAAATGAGATTGTTTGGTGAACATCTGCTTAGAAAGATACGATTGTTTCAGTTCTATTACACGTGGCAAAGGAATGAAAACAAATCCAAAAGACTATTGATTTGACTACTGTATCTGTGATGAAAGACTAAGAAAATTAATGACAGATATGTAGTTGATGAGAGATTCTGCAGGTTGGATAGACCATTTTTGCTGGGGTTGCAAAGCTGGATGAAAGCCAGCCCACAGATGTTGGCAGCTCTCATCTCTGCAAGAGACCTGCAAGCGACACGTAGTGGTCTGTGGGAATGACCTTGGGAGACAGGAGGAAGAGCCACAGACTAGGCAACCATCAGATAAGAGGCAGCTGAGCCCGCAGAAGGAATAGGCCCATGGCAAACCTCTCAGAAGGGACCCTCCCTACTTTCTTGGACTATAAAGGCGATGTGGGGAGATGTGCTTTCAGACCTGCAAGATTCTGTAACTGTAACCTTACAATAAAGGTAGCGTTAGTACTCATGCTTTTGGTTTCTGGTCTGGACTACCTTGCAAGGCTGACATAGTGCTTATGTCTCACAGTGCTATTAAGAGGCCCATCACACAAAGATTATGAAAGAGCCACGAGGAGACGCCAACGTGAGTTGCGTGGCACACATGGATACTTTTGCTTGCAGTTGGGCCTGCTGTAGTAGTGGGTTTCTGTGGCGGGCAGGGCATTGGATAGTTGATCTCCAAGGTCCCTTTCCAACCCCTCCCTCCCATAATTCTGTGCCTCTCTCCATCACCAGCCAAACGAGTTGCTCCAAAGAAGGAAGCCACGTGGAGCATTGCAACCAGGCTGATTCAGTGAGATCCACCTGTGGAAGAGCAGGCTACTTAGCAAAATTGCAGGCCCGTGTGCTGCCTTCTTCCCTTCCCATATGAGCCTTCTCCCCAGTGTCAGCACGCTGAGGGGTCAGTAAAGCTGAAACCTTGACACAGGTATGGGAGGAGACGGGAGGAGAATGGAGGAGACATCTGTTTTGGAAGCTCTGCAGCCACCAGCAAACAGAGTAGTGTTTCTCAACCTCAGCAACTTCAAGATCCGTGGACTTCAACTCCCAGAATTCCCCAGCCAGAATTTCTATAGGGAAATTCTTCTTTTCCTAATCCTGTAAAATTTATTGGATCACCTTAGTTCTATAACAACAACATTATGTGCCTTTACCAATATATAATTCAGTAATACCATTCTTTTACAGTAAAACTATGCATGCATTATTGCCGTTCAAAGACTCAAACTTTAGTTTCTAGGTATTATATAAATGTTAGCATAAAAAGTCTAGAAACTTTTCTATGAAGAAAATAATCCAAACAATTTACCTGTTACCGATGCATATTCTCTGGCACTGGATGCCCAAAGCCATTTTCTGTGAGAGGAAAACAGAAAAGAATCAGCGCAGGAATTTAACAGAGTGGCATGTTCTTAAGCAGAAATAAAATGATGGATAAGGCTGTCAAGGCAGAAATTCAGTTGGGGGGGAGGGGAAACCTGGTTATTCCATAATAGCAATCAAGCTTCAGATTGTGAAGGCAGATTCAAAGGCAGAAATACAATTCAGAGACACAGATTCAGACACAGCATCTGGCAGCAACTCCTTAAACCAGTGTTGTCCAAACTTGGCCACTTTAAGATGAGTGGACTTCAACTCCCATGGCTGGCTGGGGAATTCTGGGAGTTGAAGTCCACTCATCTTAAAGTGGCCAAGTTTGGACAACACTGCCTTAAACCAAACAAGATTGTGTTCTGGTCACAGAATCTTAAGAGAGATACTGTATTTTTCAACCTTGGCAAATTTAAGATTTGTAGACTGCAACTCCCCATGCTGGCTGGGGAATTCTGGGAGTTGAAAGTCCACGCATCTTAAAACACAGGTCTAGAAGAAGCAAGAAAAAAGCAAACAGACCGAGATGAAGAAAGGAGCAGATCCTAACAAACATTCCAAAATACATGGACCAGTTTGGGGTGTCGTCTAAGCTGGTTACAAAATTCTCTCTTCCTACCTAGTGGGTTCAAAGATCCCCATATAATTAAAGCTGCTAACTCACAGCTAAAGAGCTGGTGATGACCACTAACCTGGACGGCTTGAAAAAGAGACTAGGATAAATTCATGGAAGAGAGGCCTATCAAGCCCAATTAATCTTGAAGACTCCATGTTACCTATGGGTTTGGGGGGAACAGCATGCATCCAATCCTAGTTAGAGGGGAATAATGTGGGAGGGGGGCATGTCTCCACCTCCTACTATGAGTCCCCCAGAGGTATCTGGTAGGCCCCTGTGTGAAAAAGCTGGGCCAAAAAGGGCCTTGATTAGACAGAAGACAGTTATTCTTATGTTAGCCCATCAAAACTCCAAAAACTACCGAATGAATGATTTACAAACATTTACCAGACATAAGCTATTCCAGAAACATTCAGAGACTCCACACGAAGAAGAGCAGTGCGGCCCACCCCTTGCCAGCCACTCTAACCATCAATTGTGGTTGCACAGTATGCTTACCCATGGCTAATTAAACCAGAGTTTTCTCAATAAACACAATTTTTGAGCTCAAATAATATCGGGGCCCATTAGTAAACCATAGGGGCGGAGCTTGCCATAGGGGGTCTACTGTACACTAAAAAATTGACCTTGGCTGACCTTGGGACAGCTAAGCAGGGTGACAGCTTGGATGGGAGACCATCCGGAGATGTGACAGCTGTAAACTAGGCAGGGAAGTAAAACAATATCCCAGAAGCAGCTCTCGCAAATTGATTCCATACTGCTGACAAGGAAACAACCTGGATCCAACCTGGGAGGCAGTCAAGCCTGCTTCAAGGGAGAGTGCAGTTTGTAATTTAGTGTCTTGTGCGAACACAATTCCCCAGGCCTGACGCAGCCACCCTCAGACCACAGCAATGCTTCACAATATGGGGGAGGCAACTTGTGCCATATGGCAGGGGCAACAGCACACAAATCACCCCTTGCCAGCAGCAGTGCTCCCCACCAGCAACTGCCACCCGGTCTGCGGGTTGCTCGTGGGGTCTTGTGAAAGCTTCGGCACGCGCAGGTTGATCTCCAGCAGCAGCTACGAAGGGCGACCCCGAATTCCAGAAACCTTCCTCCGCCCCCAGGAGGGGGACAGCGGGGTCTGCCCGTAATTCGGAACCACCAGCCAGAAGGGCCCGACCTCCTGCCTCCCCCCACCCCG